TAACACGGACGTAAAAATTATTTTGTGCCACTTGATAGCATTTTGTGATCTGTTTTATCACGGATTTATGTCCATTTTACCTTATCGTAGAAGGCAAACTGATTGTTTCCACTGAAACATTGTTTCTGCGGCAACTTTCAAGAGATTTCCTTTGTTACTGTACCTAAACATCATATAACAATGGTACCCAATTTCGGTGTGTGGGTTATTTCAGTTAATGGGATATGTGAAGGTATTGCTTCTGGAACCATTGTGATAACGCTGCATGTTGGAAACTGTTCAAGCACCAGTCACCCTACCTACACCACACAGACAGGTATGAACAGTATATATGGCTTAGTTGGTTTCTACTTAGCACACCTTGCTCTCGTTATAAGTGATGGGTACACTTGATATAGCAATTTTAACAGCCAATAACTTGAAATCTGACTGTGTCCTAATGTTGTGTAAAGTCAATATTATTATGTTACTTAAAACACGCGAGGAATAATTATTGACTTTTTGTAACTGTTCATTTCTATTCATGGCTGGTTGACTTTAACACGTCATTTTTCTATTGAAATGTCATTTCGTATTAAAAAAAAAAAAGCGAGTGGCCAGCTAATATATGCTTTTTGGAGTGCATTGATAATTAAATGTACCTATGTGTTTTCTGTTATCGATCACAGACACACACACACACACGCACACACACAAGCGCGTACAAGCACAATATTGTAATTGTTTATGAAATTTTTCTTCGTAGGTTGGAAAACCACCACTCACCTTATAGTGGAAGAGACAAGACTTGGACAAGATATCAGTGCAGGTTGGAAATTTGGAAGAGATAAAATTGTGAAAGAGATGGAATTGAGAAATTGTCGTTCTGTTTGTATTTCGGCACTTTCATGGAATAATAACGTATATATATACATTATATTCATACATTTTTATTTTTGATTTTTAGGTTAAAGTAACCTAAAAAAAAAAACTATGAAGTTTAATATGCCGTGGCTTTTCCTGTACTGCGATGTTTGATACATTGATACAATTAATGTTCTGTGTAAGATTAAGTGTAATTTGATTTTACGTGTACTGTACTTGTATAACACCGGTTTTTGTGTACTGTGAAGAAGTGTTAGGGTTCATTCCAAATGACATTATTGTTGTAGATTGAGCCAACTATGCGGGGCGTGCTCTGAATGCAGATTAACGCACATGCCTCCTATTTGGTATGTGTTGATTAAATTTTAAAGCTAGAAATTATGCAAGAACGATGGAAACAAGAGGAGGCGTATTAATCTGAGTTTCTCCACTGCACCCTAGTGGGGTCGATCGACGTAAAACGATAGTTTCATTGGAAATAAGCCCTTACATCAGTTTGTTGTGACTTTTCGTGCAATTTGCTTGTGTTCCAGTTCTAACTGCCGATGGGACTACCATCCGCCTGCCGTTATATAACCGCGTGCAAGGTTATTGGTATAATTTAGCAGCTGGTGCCGACTCAGGAGTTATTCAGGTGCGTACTTATCAAATCAATTTTCACCTCAGGAATTGCATCATGGTTATATTTACAACATGTAACTATAAAAAATATTATGGGCAAATGGAAAACAAACGTCGCATTTTCTTTACAAAGGTTTTACTGTTGTTTGAAGACTTTTAATTGTATGTTTTGGTGTATAACACATCAGTGATTTTTATCTTGCTTCGCTCGCTTCTGTAGAGGGCACCGAAAGCGTTAAATTTGAATGACGAAAGAGTGCTTATATCTAACACGATGTATTAAGCCTTTTTAATTGATTGCAGTCTATGACGTACAACAAAAAGTCAAACTCCAGTGGAATCCATGTCATTTGGAGCGTTAACGTGAGGAATCACAAAGGTGACACCTGTGCCAAATGGTCCGTTACCTTTAACGGGGTTCAGTGCTCCAATCCTGGAAGTATTGAACATATCATCTATTCCCATGACTTGGAAAGTGGAGAAAATGTGAATTGGCATATTCCTGGAATTGGTAAGAGCATGATCGCATAATTTCTTGTAATCATTCGTTACACTATGCGTTGGACTACTGTCAACATATGCCTATAATACTTCTTGAAGTAAAAAGTCTATAGGCAAACGTTGTTGTCATTTAGGTGAACATTTTATATACTATAAGGTACGAGTGATCAATCATCTTGATTTGATGGCATACATGTAACACTATATTCCGCTGCATACATACATTACAAATACAATGTACGCTGTATTGAATAAATTATATGTAGAAACCGCATCAGCAGCTATTTAACATCACCTATATCAATGGATATATAATGAATTTAATGGTTACTCATATCATTTAAGAAAAATATGATCAAAAGCAATTTTTTCTAATTCATTTACTGACATGACCTTTCTATGTGAAATCTTGCTAACCTTATCAAACCGTTGGTTTCAGATGCGAACAGATCCTTTTTGCTGTTTGTTGTTGTTTTAAGTTGAGTTTGACCATACACTGATAAGTTATTCTAGATTCACTCCATGCACGTATGAATTACGCCAAATGTTACTTCCAGTGGATGGTATATGTCTTGGAGTCGGGCGTGGTGACGTCATCATTGCTTTGGAAGTCGGTGCGTGTGCCTCTCACCCAGGACACAATGCATATACCGGCAAAGAATGTGGAACCTTCCTCATGGTGGAAGAGGTCTTTCTTGGAGTCTGACTACAAAGGCCATTCTCTAATGAATGAAAGTGACCAGTACATTCAGCGTGCTGCCAATGAAACATTATTGAATGACAGACATAAGAAGCTGTTATGCTAGAAGTAATGACGTTATTGTACAAGGTACTGGATGGAATCAATACCAGTCATGTGGCACCAACAGTCTAGTAGACTTTCTGACATCGTCCCATATAAGCCTAATTGATATCCTTTCAACTATACTCACACTATTAGGTGGAATGTGCTATCAAGTAACAAATTGACAAGTATGTGATGCCATTGTTCTAAATTTCACAGCAATAGTGTGGACGCCATTGTACTAGATGTGACAGAGCAATTATATTGATGACATTGTGATAGATGTGACAGAGTTATTGTGTTGATGACAATGCTAGACGTGACAGAGTAATTGCATTGTGTAGTTGGACCTTATTATTATGTAGACTATTCCAAATACCCTAGTACAGGCAACTTTGTGGGTTTACGTAAGAAACAACTAACACACCCAAGTGATAAAATCACTGACGCAATGCTAAATTCACAAATCTGATAATTTCACTACAAGGTTGCAATATGGTACAACCCCTTTAAGTCTAAAGATAACGTACACTGATACAGGTTACCAGTCGCAGTTTGGCGAGCAATACACAACCTGTCTACAACCACTTAATAATTCGAAACCGGTGGTAGGTATTTAGCGATCATTTGCAGGTTGGTAATTTCAGTGTGTGCATGTATGTGCATGCACGTGCACACACACACATATCCATGAATTATGTAAACAAAAATCATTATTCAAGAATTATGTAAATAAAAACAGTTGGCACATTCTGGTGTATGGCAGTTTTATTCAAAATTTTACAAGGATTTTTTGCACTGTGGTAGACTAGTTTGGTATTAAAATATTGAATTATGTTAATTGTTCTAAAGGTGACAAGCAAGCATGATTTTTTGTGAATTAGTGGGTTACCTGGCTTCCCTAAAAGTAGATGCAATAGCAGAATTATTCTAAAAAGTTTTCTTTTTTAAAATCATTCAAAGACTTCAACTTTTAAGGATGTTGCTTCTTTATAGCATTCGCATCTCTAACAAATCTTTACTCTTAAAGAAAAAAGGCATATGTCATACTAAAATGGTAACAAGTATAGTATGAGGTTATTACTAGAATATAAACAATGCACCCAGAACAATTAAATAACAATATAATTTTCAGGTTCAAGCTTGTTATCTACGCCTACTAATACAAATACCATCATTTAATACATATACATGCATCTAAGGAAATGAGACATGCAAAATGTGATATACCATATGTATTGGAGCAATTGCACGTTTCTGAACTACCAAGTGCATGTACTTATGTGGTGCAATGTGCTTTTTTTCTGTAATATATAGTGCTATGGCACAAATGTCAATACACTGACAGTTCTATACATTATACTTCAGTTGTAAGCCTTTAAGTATATTCACAAAGATTTCTAAGAGAAAACTCACTTTAACTGATGACAAGAATAATCTATGAGCACCATGAGTATTAAGCAGGCCAGTCAACAAAATCCCTGACTGCTTTGGCTGTTTTTATCGAGATTAATATTACAAAATATACCAGTTAACATATTATATACAAAATGCATACGAGATATCTACTTCAAGGTTTAAACCAAGCTGAAATAAGACTACACTGTAAAACAAATGTTATACTGTTATCTCTTAAAATTTTAATAAATCCAAACATGTTGTATACTAATATGTTGGAGATTTAAGAGCTGTGCTACTAGTATGTATTCTCTTATCTTTCAAAAATACTTAGTTACATAAAATACTTAGCTTCACGCTTGCTTTAATTCAGGAATATAAAATTTGGATTTCTATCAAATCTACGAACCAATGTTGTTAATTTTAATGAGCCTCCACATGTTTAAGGTTAACTTCTGTATCAAACGATATATGTGTAGCATATAGTAATTACAATATATAAAGGCAAGGGTATTCTTATATATGGTTACCTAAGCAAAATTTTGATTTTCAAATATGAAAATAAAACATCCTACTATTATAGGAACAACTTATTGGATTAAAGCTAAGCAGCCATTAAAGAATAATTTCCAATTGGTATTGAGCAATGACAAATGCATAAATTAATATCATGCTGAATGTTGAACAAGAAACAGAATGTATTAATAAATAATTATTTTGCAAGCAAAATAGCACAAAAATTAAATAAAAATAAAACAGGTCAATTGGTAAAATGATGCAAGAACAAATGCAGAAATAAAAAACATATAACCCTAACAAAAATTGCAAAAAAAAAAAAAAAAAAAATGCCAGTGCCACAAAATACAAGAGCAATTTCCTAAATCACTTTTCACAAATCTAAAATGCTGTCAAAACATTCCTATCATCTGGTGTATGGGAAAATACTAGAACATTATGCCATCAAATAAAGATGGTTCACAATAACTAAATTGTAGTGTGAAAAATATCAAAAGCCAACTGAGATACAATTACCTCTTACTGAATAGTAAAAAAGCTGAACAAGCTGGGCTGTACAATAAGTCTGAACAATTATACAATATCAAAATACAAAATGTAGTGTTATCATCCACATCTTTCTTCAACAATTTGGATTTCTCGATAAACAAACACTTTGACAATTAATAATTATGCTCATAACAAGTTAAAATTTATAACTTATTACAAAACAAGGCTAACTGATGAAGGAACATGCTATAAAAAGGCACACAGGTCAATACTCCCATCAAAAGCAAACAGGAGTCAGAGTGCTGTAACACTGTTATCTCTGTTTCCCTGGTTACCATTTCCGTGGTTACCATTTTCCATGCCCCCATTAATGTATGCATTATCTCTCTCCATGACAACCTCGACCATGTCCATATTTCCGGCATCCACGTCATCAAAGTCCCTGTCCTCTGGTTCTTGCTGAAGCTCACATACATTTATTACCTCCACGCCGATCATTACAATATTCTTGATCAGGAATATCGATATATCCACCTTGTACTGGGCCCACAGTATAAAGCGGAGTACAGCAAAGGCGCCATCTAGTAGGAGAATATGGAGGAATACGTAGTTGATCCGCCATCCCTTTGATAGCACATGCCTCCTGTGCCCATAGTAACTCTTACTCAGGACCACGATGCAGAAGAACGGTAAAATCAAGTTGATCATTGAAAATGCCAAAATAATATTCTGGAGAGAGTCTGGTATGTTGAGAGCCATGGGAGACCTGTGGTTGTATAAAAATAAAATCTCCAAGAAGTCGATGCTGTCCCATATGTCAAAGGGGACTATGACGGTCAGAGTTTGGATGTAATATCGCTTTCTGGTTTCAAGCTGTGCATTATGTTGGCTCATGACTATCAGGAGAAATATGGGACCTGGAAATATATTTTACACTTGAATGTTAAAGTGAATTCTTTGGTTAAATAGTACATATATTGAGTAAAACTTTGTATTGTTTATATATTTAGAGGTATTGGTAAACAAGAAACTACATTTAAAAAGGTCATATACCCACCACACAGTTACTAGTATTCAAATAAAAATCTCAAAAGATATGATTAACAGATAAAAGTTACAAAATTGATGTATTGATATATTTTTTAAGATATATATTAAAAATGCTGAATTCAATCTCTGAGCTTATATAACAAAAGTATAT